GAGCAATGGCCTCCAACCAAAGAGCGATGGCCTCCAGCCTAAGAGCGATTGCCTATGACAGATGGCCTCCAAGCTAAGCTGGACAGACTGTTCGTGCGGCCAGAAAGATCAGTTGGGTTTGTCCTTGAGATAAACATGGCAGTGCAATAATGGACGTTTATCTTCACAGCGAGTAAGGGAGGCATGGGCAGGAAGACTATGTGATGATTGGAAGAAATTACAGCTTGTTCTCGGGAAAGCTAGGGTTGGCCTCATTTTAGGAATTGCATTCTTTAGGAATTGCTAGGAAGGTGCCGCACCTGCATTTCCCTGAGGGTACCCAATCATACCCTACTATTAGCTGCAAGTACGGTTGCAAGGGTGGTGTCGTGATTTGGTCTGGCTCTTTCAACAGGACCCGGTTGAAACGAAGCGCTACCATGACGCAGTCTGCCATTGTCGTTGGTGAATGTTAGTAAAAGATTCTCTAGGGGTTGACCAGCTGGTCAGCCGCCTGACAAAATGACAGATGGATCCTTGATGAGATTAGCATCGCCCCGAGTATCACGTTAGGCTATAATGGCCAAAGCCCCTCTTTGCCTCTTTCTACTGTTCAACCGAGCGGAGACTGCGTTCACCAGGTCTACAAATCCCAGGCAAGTCCAGTTTGGGTCGGTGCGTTGGTGGTTGTGAAGTGGGCATAGACAACAGCTGCACAAGAAAGAAGGTCACTGGATGAATCAATGCATAGGCAGTCCGACTGTTTGAACCTTTCATGTACCTCCCCACGGGAAAGCCACTCATTCCGACAGAAAGCATTTTTTTGCTTGAGATCCAACACATTCCAAAACAAAAGTCCTCACCCCTTAGAAGTAATGGTTGGCACACATTGGTGGCCAGCTTCAATATTGTTCATATCCCGACAGGCGGAGGTCTACGAGGAGCAGCTTCGTGCGCTTCAGGGGGAGATGGATGCGCTGGACGCGGAGGTGGGAGATGAGACACGGTGGTGATGTTTTTCATTTTGCCCCATAGCTGTGCGGCACCGCTGGTGGAAGCTGTGCGTAAGAGAACTTGAGGGAAGTGATCATTGTCCATGTGTGGATTTGTACTCGAGGACCCGTCATCGGGACTGGAGTGGACCTGATGACGTGTATCCATGTGACACAAGTTGAGTCATTTGATGAAGTACTAGGAGCAAGAACGCTACTAGGAGCAAAGGGCATCGCTACTAGGAGCAAGGACGCTACTAGGGGCTCCTGGCATCGCTACTAGGAACAAGGACGCTACTAGGCAGATGCCGCACGAGGTGGGCGTTCGCAGCCTCACCGATGAGATCACCAAGAGTCAAACGCCTTTGGTGGGACACAACTGAGCCTTGGACTCACACCACCATAGCCTGGGATTGCGGCAAGGGCTCAAGAACCGATGAGTTTAGTTTGGATAGATCTATAGAATCTATAGCTTGGCACGTGGAATTGCTTTGATCATCCTTGATCATAGTTGTTCCTTTCCCAGAAGCCATTGGCAATTTTGCTCTCAAAGGACAGTGATGTAGGGTTGACATGATGTTTCCTATAAGTCATAAGAGCTTTTGAACATGTTGTTCCTTCTGTCTCATCTAATGCAGCATGAACCCACTGGGATTTGTCCTGAGAAGTCAGCATCAGTAGTCCCAGTCACAAAAGTCAAAAAAGTTTAGTAGCTTGGAATGGAAATGATGTCCATTGGGAACAACTCGAGACTTCTTTGTCGGGAGCAATAGAGGATGGTTCTTTTCTCAAATTGTGTTAGTCTCTGAGAACCCGGCAAAAATTTGCAGTTCCTTTTCGCAGTTGCTTTTTTGGGGCCGGGGGGATTGCGCAATTTCATAAGCTCACCACTAGAAAAGTGGTTCCTATCCCTCACAGATGAAGTCATGTTATGTGTTTGCTGTCAATTGGGGCTTTGGACCAAAATGCCAGTCATTGCTACTCTGCTTGCTCCATCAACACCCTATGAGGAACATTGGCCCATCTTCGGAATTGGTCGCGATAGGATCCATGTTCACCCTTTTCTGGTACATTGTACCGGCATTGGGAGCCACCATAAGATACCATGAGGAATGAGATGAGATAGGTCCAGAGCCTCAGAGCGGTGCCATGTGAGGCTTTTACGACTTCCTGCACCTCTACCAGTCCTTCTACGCGGATCTTCCAGAGTCAATCCAGGAATTCAAGGTGACGACCCAGGGTCTCCTAGTGGGGGTCGGGGGTGAGAGGGTTTAAATCCCCTCAATGGATGGATTGGTCTTGGTATGTGATTGTCTACTCCATAGAAGCTCTGTGTGATTTACTTGGATCTTACTCTGTGTCATAGTCCCATCTACTATGTCTATCAATGAGTGTACAGTTGCTTACATGAGTCATCATACAAGGAATCCAGGTAGTCCAGTAGGATGATTCACTTCAGTTCTTTTTCGCCCAACCCTTCGGTGGGCCAGAGAGTTCAATGGGAAGTTGTTCCAGGCTTCCTGGCTCCAACTCTTCCCGCAGACCTTGGACACCAAGTTCCTGGCCGAGGTGCATCCGTGCCGAAAGAGCTTCTCACGCACGGAACTAGACAATGCATCTAATTATTGCACTCCTTGCACAGTATCTCCTTTTAGAGCATAGCTTCTTTTGTGAGGTCCATTCTTTAAGTAATTTGACATACCCATTGGGTATGTCAATACCCAGAACATTTGTCCTCCAGCAATGTCCTGTTCACTACCGAAGCCCTGCCAAAAAAATATTCCAACATACTTGCTCATCCTTGTCCTGTATTTGCCCCTATGGCTAGAGTCTGGATCCTAGGTTGGTTTCCTTTGGTCCATTCACTACGAGGTTCTTTAGTGCGGACTCATCAGAGGCGAAAAGCAGAGCTATTGTCAAGTGTTCTCTTTGTTTGAGATCCGGTTTTGCATTTGGAAAGGGGAAAATAAATCTCATCTGATTCATTTGGGTGTGTTTGCTTATTTTTGGTACGTAAGGGGCCGGGCATTTATGCATGTTTTTAGCTTTCGTGGCTTGACGTCACTTGTGCTTGGCCTTGGATGGGGTGGGGGTGGGGTGGGGTGGGGTTCTATTGACGTCACTTGTAAACATACTTGATGCTATGCTTCGATTCGCTTCGCTTGCAAACGTAGAAAAAGTCACTCGAGACTTTGAGACCGGATAACTGCTGTATGCACAGGTGCTCATAACTGTAGCGAAACGTTTAAAAGCAAACATTCCGAGCAACCCTTACAGCACTTGAGCCTCCTCACAAGCAACCCTCTCCGTCCAAAAACGCTCCAGACGTGGGTAAGTAGACACTTGCAAGCAAACGATACGTTCAAAGAACATCAAAGACGCACGGCCCCTTGGGGGCGCATGCAGCTCCCTTTTTTCAATAGTGCTTAGTAGTTGGTGCTTATTGCTTATCCAAGTAGATCCCGCATGAGGGGGAGGTAGAATCCTTCGTTGTGTCCGCTGCGATGAAACAATGCAGCCCTTGCACGTGCCCCTGTTACCAAAACATATCCGGCTGGATATTTATTGTGAACGCTGCCAGCTTGCTGCTTTGTCAGCCAGGCGCATGAGCTGCTGGTTGGCCTCCAACCACCTGCGAACCTCAAGGGCCTTTGCGACTTCATGATGCAGGTGACTCCGCAAAGACCACGAGTTCTCGCGCTCCAAACGGAATTTCTCGCATTCGTCATCATCATCCCGGTCTAACTTGGTCGAACATGCACCGCACCAGCGGTGCTTGGATGGGCCCGGATGGACTTCTGCTTTTTGGAGGAGAAGAACAATGAAGAACACTGTCACTCTTGGATTGCTTTCAAAGCTTTCATGTTGATCAGGACTGAATCTCGACAATAGCTCTTTAGTCACAAAATAACGAAGCGCAACTGTGAGTAGAGAACCTTTTCCATCCTTTTTTCACTTCTCGCTTGTACACACCGCGGAAAGCGAGATCGTCCTGAAAAGAGATCGTGTTGAAGTAAAGACCAAAACAGGGTTTGGGTGGCTTTAGTGCTATTTGTGCACTTCATGGAATAAGTCTTGAGCTAGAAAAGAGTTTTTTGAGAATGTTGATAGCTCTTTTGTAGGGCAAGCTTAGTCAGAATTCCTGCGAGAGGGGCTGATACTGGAAGGGCTGCTGCCCAAGACTCTCGGCATGGTGCAATGCCTTTTTGTTTCTGTCGCCCTTTGTACCTAGAGCCCTTTTTCTATAAGAAACAATGAATAATCAGTGAGCTTAAAGTGAGCAGCTAAGGGAAGTCACTCAATCCCCTATCTCTGTTTCACCTTTGGTTTGCCCGGGGGGGGCCCTGCCTGGATTCTTTTCTGGCTTAGCTTGTTCTGGGGGGGACTCTCCTGAGTCGATCCTCTTCTCTGCCACAAAAGGATATTTGCAATAGTTCTTGATCACTCAAAGTACTTATTTTGGGGGATGGACATTTTCCCGTAAAGCACATGTGTAGGCTATTCTATTCATCCGTCCATCCTGTATTCAAAAATCCGTGCCCGCGGACACCATCACGGCGTCGCATTGCAAAGCTGGCTTTCCATATGCTCATTTAACAACGCTCTCTTCCTTATGCGCGCTGTGCTCCACTTCATCCATTCTGTTCAGTTCTTCTTTCAGTTTCCTCTAATCCACTCACCACACTCCCGTTTCACTCCACTGTATTCACACAACCCCCATTTGCTTCAGTGCACTCCAAGTGGGTCACACTCAATGAGTTCATAGGACATGCAGGACAGCGTCTAACGTTGCTCCAAGTCCACAAACCCAGACTTTCAAATGCTAGTGCTGAGCACGCAATCTGCAAGACCATCTGACTTGTGAACAAAAGGCCTTGAATGAAGACCATGTCCTTAGATTGAAGTTTGACAAGGTGCCCATTGATGCCAGCCCAGGTTGTTTCTTTGTTTCTGGTTGATTTTGGTTTTCAGGATGGGCTCTTGTGATGGTGATACCACTCTCTAACCCCATACTACAGGCACCTCAGACTGAGTGTAGTCTTGCCTCACCGATCTGTAAAGCTTTCTTCAGGCGGTGGGAGTGATGAACGTGATGGCAGGGTAGCTAAAGTTCTTTATCGCTATTTGACGATCGGCCACCACGGGAAGGTCAAACAGATTTTAGCGATTTGTGATAAGTGTTCATGTTTGTTTGGGGCGAGGCCACGATCCAGGCTCATGAGGGGTAAGCCTTTTGAACAGCCAAACTTAGAAGCACGGCCTGTCGCGTCTCAGATCGCGAGCGTGAACATGAGTAGTATGGTCGCCTTGTTTCTTGTTCACACGAGTGCAATTTTGGTATTCTAGCTGCACAGTCAAACGTCATCATGCAAAAGGTGTTTGTAGATGATCAAACTTGCAGCATGCTGCATAGCGCTGGTGACCGCTGGTGGTGCCTGCACAATTGCCACTCAAAGCACTTCTAACAAGCTTGTAAGAAGCCAATCTTGAAGCCGCTTCTCATTAGCAATCAGGTAGCATGTCCTTGAGGATCTTGCTTGGAGCTTAAGACTGGGCCAGTGCATGCACCCGCATGGCTAAAAGCGCCCACGCGGAAAAATGGTCATACGCGTGCGACTTGATACAGCGCACCTTGTTTTTCATTTGGGCGGTGGTTTTTTGGTGACGTGTCGGCATTTCATTGCGCACTCTCACATCATCGAATTAGCACTCTACTTTGCTGACTTTGCCCTTGTTGTTTCGTTCAACGGGGGTGGGGTAAGGCCTCCAAGACCGACTCAACACCAGAGCCTTTGCCCGTGACCTTCGAGGCAGCACTCCGTCAATTGTGGTCAACGCTTTGTTTGTGTCCACTGCTTCACCAGGTGTTCGCAGCAAAGTCGGAATTTCAATCTGTGCACCCACCGGCTGCAGGTCAATAACCTCACGGGAGTCGAGTATCGTTTGCCAAACGTTGGAGGCAGGGTTGGCAACGCCCGATTTTGTGCCCTCGAAAGAGACGATATGGCTTGCATCGCTTGGAAAATGCGTTGGTTGATTCATTGATGCACCAGGACAACGGATCAAGCTGGGTCAATATATGTTGTTCAATTGTTCTTGAATGTGTTTGAAGCTAGTTAAAAGAATTCGATAATTACGCAAATAACACAAAGTGCTCGGCATCGCTCCTGTTCTCTCAGACAATCTGCGTGGTTGATACAGCCTCCTTTCAAGTGTGTCCATAAAGCAATCCATGTTCCCCACTCTCCAAACGTATTATATATATATACCCAGTGTCCAGTGTTCTCAACGAAATAGTTCCTGCACAACATGTGCAGAATGTGTTTTGCAAATTGTGTGTCCGGAAGCATTCAACTCCAAAACTTGGGCAACCTGGTCCACTGTTGTGGGTAAATTCATGTACAATGTAAATTCTGATGTTTCAGGACGTGTGATTGATTCATCCATGTCGTACCATGTCTTTAGCTGATCGAAGTTCCAGGCGAAGCTTTGTTGGAGGAGGACGGGTCTCATGAGGTGCGGTTTCTGGAAAATAATTGAAGAATAGATCGGTCGAAAAGTGTGTTGTTTGTTTCATGAATCTAAGACCTAAGACGGATGGCTTGGAAAATATTGACAGGAACTCCACAAAATGATCCAATGGTATTGTTCGAACATATTTCCCGTAACATTGCGTTTCCTGGAGGAACAATTTGACCCGAAGACATTCTGCAAATACCAGGCCCTCTCAGCACATTTTAACAAGATTCCATTGGACAAAAAGAACTGAGATTCCACCTCCATTCTGTTATTCTGTTTGAATGGCTGCTGAAAGGTTGGCAAGTTCTGGAACAAGACCAGAGAGAAGATCTTGCTGTAAGTTACTGTAAGTACAGGGTGTGTGGTATGGCCAGGTGGTGCAGGATGTTGAATGCTCATTAAATAGTCACTCTGACAAACAAACAAAATCTTACCTTATTTGCGTTATTTGGCTGCACGGGTTTGTGCTGGTGATCAAGCACCTACAACAGCATGTTCTCCGATTGAATGCTAAGATGTTTGTCGCGAACTGCCATTCATTTTGGCGACCAAAGCTTCAGAAGCATGCAGCATCCCCAAGCAAACTCGCATGTCTAGATTTGGTCGGGTTCTCTGGTGGTGCCTCCCACGTGATGTATCTGCGCTAGATACATGGGTACCTTCAGGGAACATGCTCCTTTGCAGAATCCGTCAAACCATGTCCAACATCTCCAACAAGGTTTGATCAATGATTGACTGGTTGGTTGCTGAGGTTCATTTGGCGGTGCATTCGAGAAGTGTGTTAAAAAGTTTTGGGACAACCTTTGATTCCGTATTTGTTGAACTCCGAACTCCCAACGCTGCGATTCCAGCAGGCAGGCTACGATGCCCTGATGACCTCATTGGTATCTTGACACCAGGGTGTATTCACGGCTCCTCTAGAGAATGTTGACTTTGTGAAGCATGTTGGATGGATGTGTTTGAGGGATAGACTGGTTGGTTGCAGCACCTACTTTCTTACAAAGGCTGAACCCTTGTGCCAACCAGAATGAAATTTCACCACAGCTTTGACGATGCCCCGAATGCCTGTAGCTACAGCGCGATGGAAGGTGGGTTGCTAGTTGGATTGTTGGACAGGACTCAGCTGGAGATCACTCAAGGTTTTTGGATGCCTGATGAAGAGCTACCTGTGCAGGTCAAGCGTGACAGTGTGGTTTTCATCAATAACTTAGGACGGAGCAAATTGGCTGACCACACAGGTCATCCCATGTTTTGCACAGAGGCCATCCAAAAGATCCTGAGTAGTGCATCGCTTCTAGTAAACAAGTGCCTTACTAGTAGTAACAAGAAGCTACTAGGGGCTCCTGGCCT